TTTTTTTTTTTTTGTGAGGGGTGGGGGGAGGACCTTCCTATTACATGCATGGACCTGTGCGTAGATATAAATTTTTCTCCCCATCCCGGTCGGTCATTAACATTTTGACTGACATTGATCAAGAATACAGGTGCATCAGAGGCAACAGGTTGACAATAGGTGAACATAAAAAGATGCGTTTGCGTGTCACTGCCGGATTGATCGAGTAAGATGTAAAAATGATACCGCTGTGTGAACGATAATGATGCATTTGTATTAACAGTCGCAAATTAGTTACAACCCCGTGCTGAGGCTGAAAAACTCTGAATAGAAGGAGGAAAGATCACGCAGGGATGGATTAAAAGAGAAAACAACTTTTGTTTTTTGAAGTCAAGAAGTTTTTCCTAACAAAAAAACTCTTCACCGGATTGATCGGCATATTACTGTGCACGTGATGGTCATGTTCAGATGTCAAGGCGTCTCTCAATGTGAATATGTAAAACAACATTCTAGCTTTTTTTTTGGAACTACCTTTGCAATGTAATTTTGAAAATGAATTCATAGTTCTTAAAAAAAATTCAGTGGCACAACAAAAAACCTCCGCTCGGACACCTGCCCATTCGCATGGCACATTGTATAATTTGCAGTACTAAATTGTGAAGAAAAACAATCGTGCTTTCCTTTTGTTCTATTTTTTACGGAGGAAACTATAAATATTTTAAAGAAGCAACAACCGTTTTGTGCAGAAATTAACTCTCACAAAAAAAGTCTTCAGGCGCTTAAAAGATATAGAACTTTTGAAAAGTCCTTAATGAAGCATTATTATCCTTCATTACAGCCCGTGGTTTATTGGCAGGTGCTGCGGGAAATTTAGGTCTTGCACCACGCTCATTGTCCCTCACAATTGCCAACGCCTGTATGATAGAAACATTGTATGATTTACATCCTATACTAACATGGCTAGTTTCTTCACATTGGCAATGATAGTTTTTCCTATTCTTCAAGTCAGTGGACGACCTTCGAAGTTTCCAGCTGCAAGTAAGTAAATCGCACAGCATTTGAGAATTAATCTTTATTTTAGAAAAAAAAACCACTATATTTCGTTGTTTTGCCGCAGAGGAAAATTAGTTATAAAGCTCGTTTTCAAAATATATAATCATGGTGCAGCAATATTTCAATCAGACTAAGTTATATTGTTCAATGCGAAAAAACTGGCAAAAATTGCTATAGCGTATGGCTGTAATGTGTATATTTTTTTCGATACTTTTTTTGAGCAGTTTAGTATCTTGCTCTCAGTGCGTAATGATTTAATTTTCTAACTTTGATGCAAACGTCTTTAACACAAATCCCAAATTATTCTATTCCTGGAAATGAAAATTATCCGGTGTAGTTTCAAGTTTGTTCTAGTTTAGTTTAAGTCTTTGAACTTTCCTCTCGTTCGTTTTTTATAGGGGTGATATTGAACCCTGGAGGGAGAAGTATTAGATGGTTCCACGCTGACCTCTTCAAGCTAATATTTGACGCCAAACCACAAAAATTGTTTTGTATTGTCTATTTTAACTGTTCGTGGTTGGAAAATGGGTCAGATTAAATTTTCTTACAACAGGGTGAATTTGGGTTAAACAACATGGAATTGTCTGAGGATGAAACTTTTGGACCCAAAACCACAGCAACGTGACTTGAGGCGATCGGTGTGGTAGCTCTGTTTATGGCGCGAAAATTTATTTACTTCGTGGGAGTCTCAAGTCCCGTTTGCAAGGACGCGGTTTCATTTGTAACTGCATCTTATTCGATGCGGTTAGGCCTTCCGTTTACAGGGCGAAGATGGAAGAAATAATGAAGCGCATCTTTTTGAAACCGCTGTCAACAGTGGAGGGCTCTCAAAACGTGGAAACGGGGGTAAAAGCCGGTGTCGTTTTGAAAACGGCTTTAGTTCGGCGTGATCGATAAAAAAGGGAGAATTTTTTTTGTGGGGGAGAAGAATTGTACTCCCAATCAACAGTTTCTGCCCTTTATCTACTCTGTTATCGCTCGGTATTCTCGAAAGAAACTCTACTTCATCGTCTGTGCAAATGAAATTACTGACCTCTTTACGCTTCCATTTTCAAAACAAAATGGCGACACGTCAAGGTATAACCGTCTCCAGATCTCAGTAACTAAACCTGTCACGGCCATGACATAACAGCTGGGAAATGGACAAATCATTGTCATGTAAACGCTTCGAAACAGTGTCCTGTTCGATACAGCTTCGAAAGGATGTAATTAACTGTGTAGATTTGAAACTGAGTTTCTGTAAACGCAGCCTCAACATGCACGCTTTTCTCTCCTACTCAGTAGATTGAGTTTCTGATTGGCTAATTCTGATTGAATTTGGGTGCGGTAAAATGGCAAATCACCTGCAGCCTAACTAACAATGCACTGATGAAACGCGTAATACAAAAACACTGTAACTGATAGCTATAATGTCACTTCAGTTTCGTGGATGAATTATCTCCTATTTAAACTCTGTTTTTGTTTTAGACCGTCTTACTAAATACATGGGGTATGATGTTGCAAAGCGGGCCTACATGCCACGTGCGTCTGAGAAATACAAGAACGACGACAGCTCTTTGGGAGGATATGAAGACCGATTTAACATCCATCATGCAGGCAGTCACAGGACTGAAGAGGACGCGGTATACTCGTCAGAGGGAGTTCGCCAAATGGTGGCCACTGAAGACGATGACAGCATGCACGGAGAAAACGCGTTACCATTTGAGAACCTTCATGAAAACGGCCAATTTTCCATTGAGGAAATAATCAACAAGGAAGATGATACGGGGATAGACTTAAATGAAAATGATGACAGTTCAGTTGAAGGATATAAAACTCCCTTTCAGAATCACCAAGAGGTTCAAGCGAACGCCGACGATGATGTAAGAATGGGTTTGGTGCTCGCAAATCAAAACGATGATACAGCGAGCTCCGAAGAGCATGAAGTCTTGGCGAATCAGCACGGAAAAGATCATAGTTTCCCGTTCGACTTCAGCGAAAACGATGACAGCTCAATTGAAGGGTACAGAACACCCTTTCAGAGTCACCAAGAGGCTCACGCAAATGCCGACGATGATGTTACAATGGGTCTTGCGCTCGCAAATGAAAACGATGATACACTGGTCTCTGAAGAGCATGAATTCTTGGCGAATCAGCATGGAGAAGATCGTAGCCGTTACCCGGCAGAGGTTCTTTCAAAGCGTGCCCGTCTTCAGGTTCCCTGCATCTATTGTTGCAATATTATCAGGTAAATCAAAGGTTACATCGTCAAAGTACAGGTGGTAGTCTGTGTTTGCTGAACGTTTTGCACTGCGAGAGTTTGACGAGAGCTAGGCTGCTATCGTGAGCAGTTAAATTTGCTGAAGTAATGACCTCACGTTCGAAACGACAGTTTCATTTTAAATATATATAGTTTATTCATGGACTCAGCTGTAATCATATATTGAAAGTACGGCATTCCTTTATACATGTGACAAACAGCAAGAAGTATTCTAGAACGAGAAAAAGATCAATGGTGTATCGGCAATAGTACGCTGTTATGCGCAGTCACTAAATAAGGACGGATAAAAGCGAAACAAAACCCTTTTAAAACGAAAATCTATGCATCAGGACTGGGCTTGAATGAGTAGTCACTCTTTTGAAAGATGCGTAATTTTCTTGTCAAAAGATTTAAGTCAAAGTTATCTAAAGATATTGACCAAAAACACGTCTTTCAATCCGCATATACAATAATCTGAATATTTGAATGAAGGGAATATTAGCGTCCTTTGAGTCTATGTCATCAGGATCAAATCCGTCAATGCGTATTATTTTTTTTAAAGTGATGTGATTCATGAGATTCGCTGAATGAAGATAACGTCATTTATGAAAGCAATATTAAGGGCCACGAGTCCATCGCCCCTCAGTCTTTTTTCTACGGACCTCGCTGCGCTTGGTCCGTATTGTCAAGACCTCGGGCCGATATTCTCCAAATATGGCCTTCGCACTTAGTAAAAAAGCTAAGTTTCTTACTGCCCTACTAAGGAGGTTAGCAAAAAGGCTTTCAGTGTATGATTTTGCTCGTGTAATACGTTTTGCTTGCTTTACAGGTGTGTCGCCAACTTTGCTCATGTTTGTCACTGCCGGAACTGAAGAAACTGGAAGATTACAGATGAATGATTACGTTATTGTTTTTCTTGTCAGTTGTTAAGCTGCTTTTGCAGTACTGTAAGAATTTATGGTCATGCAAAGCTAATTTTTACTGTTGTTTTTAAGAATATACGAGATCCAAGAAGCATGCAGTCAGATGAGATTGATCATGTTAACGTTATCACTAGACTCATAAGCAATTTCCTGACGAACGAATTCTTGTGATTTTTTCTTTGGCGTTAATTCACAAATAAATGTCCTTTATAGTACCAGGAGTAACGGACTACTGATAGCAACCATGATTATGAGATGTGGGCTTATCACTTGTGTTTCTTAAACGTGGCAGTTTTTTTAAATTTACTCAGCTCTTGTACGATCACACTTAAGTGTATTGCAATATCCTATTAAACATCACTACACTACTTCAGTTCTTTTTCATATCTATCACATTCCTCAGCTTTATTTCTTCATGCAACGTACCTTACCCTACTTTACTCTACCTTACCTTACCCCTCCCTACTCTACGAAGGGGCTGAATCCAGGCATCTCATCCTTTTCGTTGTATGTGTTGGTGAAACTCAGGACAATGCATGGGGAATATGATAGGATTCGAAGCAGATTATTGGGCTTTTCAGAAATAATTCTGGGAGACTGTTTATAAGGAGAACATTTTACCCGAAGAAAAATTTCCCCTCTCCTTGAGCCTGTTCCTGCCGGTCGAGCCAAAACTTGGGGCTCTTGGTTCTGCGCATGTTCTTTATGTCCCCCAATGTCCTTGTAGGTGAGGAAGAATTGGCAAAGCGCTTACCTGGAAAAAAGCTGGCTTGAGCGTAGAGTCATCCTACCTTCAACTGTATCTAGCGTAAACCTACCCTGCAACCGTCTTTCCTAGATACTGACTATATCTAGGAACGATTAAGGGGACTCTACCAGCAGGGGAAGGGTAACTCTCTCCCCCGAGCCATAGAGGGTCACTCCCTTAGCAATATGCCCCACCCTCTAAATATTGCTGTTTGCTTAGTTGTTTTTTCGTTGCACCGATCTTGGGTGCATATTTGCACTATGCGTCGTATTTATGGTCCCAGGTCAGTTACGTTTCTACTCTTTGATCAAATCCTACCTGCTATTTGTGCAACTGTACTAACAGGTTAGGTTTCTATTTTTATTTTTTGCCAAAAAAAAGTTATTATCAACTATCATATATGTGATGTAAATACAGGAGTGGCTCTGTATCATGCAAACTCCTGCTGAACATGGCTCGCCGAAGGATTCCTTCATCGATTCAAACAACGAAGTCACAAGACTTTGCAAGGACAATTTTTAAATAGATTTATAGGTCTATTGATTGCAGCAAATAGCCAGACAAGAAAATGTACTTTAGCTGTTGCTTTAAATAGGGCGTGGCAGAGATCAAAGAAGATCTGGGTGTACGATTACTTGGGACAACGATGTTTTAAATGCGTGTTCTTTATTTCCAAGCTAAGAGTGTTGCTTTTTCAACACTAGCATATATTCCTCGTTACTACAGGCTGTGAAGTTGTGAATGCCTGCGATACACATGCAATGGCCACGTAACTACGCTAACGACTGTCACCGACAAACTGAGGAACAATTATCAAGATTCAACGTCTTGCACCTGTGGGAAGGAAAGAAAGGGTAATGGGTTTGTGTACATTATTTCTAATGAAAATTATTTTTCGAGTCAAATGCTTAAAAAAATACTTATCAATTTGTTAATTCCTTATATTACTGGGACAAACAACTTAGCTCCTTGTCTCAGGGTGGCACAAAACAGATTCCAGTAGTTAGATTTTGATGGGTCATTATAAGCACTCTTTATCACTTGATGCTACAATCATTGTATAAACGAACTGCCCAATCATTTGTGAACACGTTGCTATCATTTTTGTGACACAATGGTTTACCATAGCAAAAGTATGACCTGCTAAAGACACCCTTAATTACAGCTTTAGAGGCTTACAATTCAAAAACGGCACGGTGAATTTTTTTCATATTATCAAATTTTGATAAGCATGATAGGAAGCAACGTTTGGCACAGTTCAGAGCCACCTTAAAATTTAAAAATTGTTCTGAGCCACCTTAAAAAAACGTTTTAGTCAATTGTAAACTTCAGTAAAACAAAGTATATACATGTAGTGTAAAAAACAAAAAAAATTCAAATAGTGTTTAGCTGGAAATAATGGCCAAAAAAATTAAGATGAGCGCTTCCTCCTCTCGCGTTGGGCTGGTTTGATGATGACAGACAAGAAGAAAACTACTTAATCCCAGTCAACGAGATCTTGACTGACTGAATCGAGCTAGAAATGGTGTAGAACTTAGTATAAGTGAGAATTCTTGATTATATCTTTCATGGATGAAGAGGATCAAGAGTTCAGTACGAGAAAATTATAACGGTTATGGTATGATTCTTAAAAAACTATTATAGGCGGGACTTAACCTTGTCAATAGACAAGGAGAGCGTGATTGGATTTTCTGGGAATTTTAACTCATCATTCATTACATGACCTTTTATCAACCCCCTCCTCGGTGAAGTCACGGGTATGTAACTTTTTTTGCTTGTGATGAGACTTTTTCTCCTTACCATCGACAGTTGAACAGAGCTTCTCTTAGGCTTTCCGAGACATCCTCGTATCTGTTGTCGTCGTAAATGTCTCTGTAGTCATTGTCTCTGAGACCTAACTCGTTCCTCGGAGAATTGGCGTCATCGCCGCGAAAGTCAGAATAAACATCTGGTAAATGTTGTGTTAGAATAGCTCAGTATACACTCGACGCCAAAAAACAACATACAAGTACCATATAAGAGAGGTACCATATTAGAGAATAGTATTTAAAGCTCGTCAAGAAGGTGTACCTGAGTATCAGTGAAAAAAATAAAAACATTGCCAATGGCATGGTGATATTGTGCACAACGATTTAACAATTGTACCTCTTTCTTTGTCATCAAAATAAGGAGCGGCAATACCAATATGAAGTGCTATGGCCAAGAAAAACAACGCAGCAAAGACAGTGAGGCCTTTCATAGCTACAGTTGAAACTGACTCGATTCTCACTCGGATTTCAAGAAAATCAGAGAGCCATACAATGAAGTTAACACGATTAACTCCCACGGCCTTTAAATCTTTTATGGTGGCACGCTGCTTCTTATCACCTCGTTCCTATAACCTGAGCATATTTTGCTACATTTTTAAAATGTTTATTTTGTTCCGCTTTTCTTTTTTAATTAAGTTGAAGCGATCGACTGAGAAAGTCGTGCTTCTACCACGTTTCCAAATCTGATACGAAGTTGCCATAGCTTGGAAAAGAAACCAACAATTTTACTCAGACAGATATAGTCTATCTTTTTGCCTTGTCTGGTTAATGGTAACAACGGTGGACAATGAGTCCTCACTGTGACTCCAAACAACTCCAACAGAATTGCGTGAACTGTAATTGATTTCATTATTTTCCGAAATTGCTTTACTTAATAAGAAAATGTTTTTATTATAGCAGGTGCCCAGGGCTGCAGGAGTTCCTTAATTCATAACATGTTATGTAGTCCACCAACAGCACATGAGTTTCACGAAAAAAAATACATAACATAACTGACGTCAATAACCCAAGCCGAGCTGACTTGAAACTCATTTATGGAGAAGTCTACAGAACTGGTTCTCTCTTAAAGTACAGTTTAAGGGCAGTTGATTTTGAAAAGACGTTTTAAATCACTCAAGCTGACTACTTTAAGGGAATTGTCTTTCTGATATCATAACTGGGCAGTACTGAAATAAAGTAAGCATTACTTAGCACATTAGAATTCCAACTGGGCTTGTTCATGTATTACAGTCCTGTTCGACACACCCATTGTTGAGCCGGCTATCATCGCAAGATTTAACGACACTTTCTAGCCTACAGGGCACTTTCTAGCCTACTAAACCGGCGATTCGTGCAGTATTAAAAAACTGGCTGCAACTCGCTTTTGGATTGACTTAACTATTTACGAGCAGGATAACCTGTATTTCGGAGTCGTGAATTTTTTTTGCGTTATTCTTTTGAAGTATTTCGCGGCATTTTTCCAGATCCGTTTTGATTAGGGAGAGGTTCACTGTTTTGATAAACACATTACTTTATACAGTTTATTGAGTGGCTGAAATATTTTTCTTGCTTCGGGACTTCATGTTTCAAACTTCCTTTGGAGATGCTGTAAATATCGAAGGACACGTTTGCTCAACATCTAATTACTTTTCAATAGCTCACATGTTTTTATTTTCTATCTTTTCGCAAAAGGAATCATTATTGGAGAATTTAACCAGTCCAACTCTTTAGATATCACCACATATTCAGATCAAATGAATAAACTTCTTTATTCAAAAGGCTTAGTGTGTCTGCTGTGAAAAAGAAGTTTGAGCTGGGAAAATGTAACTGCTTATGTGACAACTGTAACACACTGCGAGGTAAAAACGGGGACTACAAAATGTAACATATTTATTTCCCCTGCCCCTTTCCGTATTCATTAAATACTATGGGAAAATTAGACACCTCCCAGCCGAATAGCGGTCTATCATATTCTGATACGAAATAACAGACGATTGTTAAATGAGATGATGCTTTATTTTGATATCAAAAAATAGTAATAAGTTAAGGGCCGATGTTCCACCGTGGAGTGCAAAGGCATCGAGTGTTGACGTAAGAGCACCTGGAAAGAGCAACATTGAACACAGTTAGCTCAGATTAATGCCCTGAATACAAATAGCCTGTTGCTTGTTAGTTCGTTGACAAAAACATAAGCCATGTTCTGCTAAGACGCTTAAGTGTCCTATGAAAACTAACGTAAATAGACTGAATTTTAGGATGAAGAAATCGCTTTTAATAACTCCTCAATTTAAACACGGGGTGAAACTCGTATGTTCCGGTCTTTGCAAACATAGCTAAGACATCGCAGACAAGCTAGAGTTTTTTCCTCTACTTCCAATAAAAACATATAGATAATAAATAATTTTATAGCATAATTATAAGCTTCTGTCTACCAAGTTTCTAAATCTTAGTTGCTTCACTCGCATGGTACGTATCAATATGTAATTACATAAATTTCAAGTTAGCTAGTGATTACAGCTAGCGCCTGTTCTGAAAACTTGCTCGACACACAGACCGATCCACGCACTGAGAACTAAACGGTAATGCTTCAACAGGTCAGGTCTTTGGAATAGGATATACGAAGGTTCTAAATGATAGATAAATAACTACCATAGAATTCCGAAAGTACTAACTGTACCCACATAAACAAAACAGACTGTACCGGAAAAGGCCGTTAATGTTGGTAATATAATGCAGGGCGAAAGTATAATGGACGCATTATATCACAGTGTTACTAATTACAATGTATCATTTGACCCTGCTGCCTGACAAGTACAGTCTAAGTACGGCTTATAAATCATAGTTTCAAGATAGATTCAGAAGAGTGCGTGATCAAACCACAAATAAATAACTCTTTAAGTTGTTCAGTCTTGCAGTCAGGCTGATCCTTGTGTATTGTGCTTGAGATACGAAACATGTAATAATTAAAGAGAATGAAAGAAATAAGCTACTTGTTTACTTACCACAAGTTATTGCAACATTGCACGCACTCTACAGGCGGGGCTGGATTTCGTTTAACTGCTCTCTCAAACTCTGGTCGTTCTAGTTCCAGTCCCTCTGAGTCACCAGTTTCCGGGTCAGGACTTTGGTAAAAGGGATAAGGATTTCCTACCCAAAAAGTGTTGAAAGAAATACTTAAGCGGTTAAGGAAACTGTTCCTCAAATGAGAACAGAGTTAAACATTATTCTGGAACATTATATTTTATCACACAAGAACACGGAAGAGAAAAATAGTCGCGTTTCACTGGCAAGTTCTCATGTTTGAGTAACATAGACTATCTTTTTTCATCTTGTCACTTGATACTTGACAATGCATTCTTCTCAATAAAATCCACCATAGTTGAAGATGAGTGCGAAAACAGTGTTTCCGAAAATAATTGTTGAGAGTCATATATTTTTTTGTAATTTCGATTATATATCTGTAAACAAAAAGTATCAAAAAAGTGATTTCATATAAAATATGAGGAAAAACCCGTTGCACTGACTGCTTCTGTAAGTATTAACAAGATAAGTTATGTTATTCCTGATAGAAACCGTTGGGCAGTTTGTACTGATTTATGTTAATATTCTCATGTGAACGCAGGTTAGATTGAAGTTGTCTCCTGT